CCCCAAAACCCCAAAACCCCAAAACCCCAAATCTATCTTTTAAAGTTGATAAGAGATAGCTAAATAATTAATCCGGAAATGACCTCCTTCATAACAACTCTGCTCGAAAACAAGATGTACTTGCTCTCTATCCAACTGATAGGAGCTGTTCTGTTCTTTCTCTTTGTGTATAATCTAATTAACAAACTTTTCTTCGTTGAAATTGAAAGTTTTGAGTATTTTTATGAAAAAGAAGGAAGATTCCTGATCACTGATAACTTCAGCTCCAAAGAGATCAAACAAAAGATCAATCAGAGACTTCAAGAAGGCTTAGAACAAAGAAGGAAGCAAATTTATGACTCTAGTGAGGAACTACTAAGTATCTCTGATGTTCAGAAAACGAATCTAAGCTTCAAAATGGATAGACTCCATTCAGAGATAACTCCAGGCAGAAAATAAGCAAGACCTGGTGCACTAAAACTCTAATATCTCCTCTCAACAAAGGTTAATAACCTTAATTTTAACAAAAATCTTACCTGAAATCCTTCTCTTTGATTCTATTAATTTTTCAGTTTAAAAATCTGATGAATTAAACTAATTTCTGACAATTTTTCCGGAAGATTTCCAAGGTGTCCTACCCAAGTGAGGTTTGAAAGCATGATGGTTCACTTTATAACAAAGGTGGCATGCTGTTGGGAATAACTCTGGAGTATCGTAGAGAGTCTCTCCATCACAAATACTCATCTTCCTTCAGGTATGAAAATTTGTCATTTTATATATTTATATTTCATACTCTTTATTTATGCTACTGGGAAGTAGATAAACTATCAAAGAAAATCCCCAGAGACTCTAGATAGCAGTGCTGTGAACCCTTTGGTCTTCTAAGACGTTATCCTTATTTTTGATAATTTGGCATGAAGTAGGAAATAACCAAATCTCAAGTTATAAATTCACTCGGATTTTCATAAAGCCAATCTTTAATAGCTAAACATTCATGAGTAAGAACTTGGCTCAGCATGTTCTCACATAAATTATCCACATTTTATCAGTCTGCTTAGAGAGTTTAGTCTCTGAATTTAAAAAGAATGCAGTTTAAGTTAAAATTAAGACCTGGGTTCAGATGAATATGAGTACAAATCCGTATTATTTATTATTAAATTATCAATGAAGACAATTTTGTATAAAATCCTCTTTGCAATAAAGCCAAGAGGTAATCTTCTCAGACTTTAAGCCTTAATATCTTTGCTATAGCTCCAATACCTGTTTAGGACAGATTTGGACAAACTAATATGTAGGATGTGCTTCCAACTAAGTAGTAAAAAAAATATAGATTAGAGTCTCGCATTGCGGCAAAATTTATAAGAAAATTAGTTAATAATTTTTAGCCAAGTTTATAAATTTTAGCGTCACTAATAGTCTGAATATTATTGATGTGAAAATCTAAGAAGCCGTAAGAGAAAAACAAACTTTGTGATAAAATATGTATAAAAGTTTAAAATTTCATAAAAACTCGATTATTATCCCTATAAACCGCCATCTTCCAGGAACCTTCCAGACTATCTTGATGTACTCTATGAAAGGATGAATTCCTGAGCATTTGGGGTTTAAAGTATGCATCATTTGCAATCCAAAAGATTTTTGTTTGCTGGTTGTATACCTATTCTTCAAAAATTATCTTAACTTCATTTTAAATAATGAACAAGGTTAATATATAAATAATCGTCCAAATGAGGCCACCAGTATCCGGTTTCAATTGAAAGTTCACAAAGTGGGGTTTTGGGGTTTTGGGGTTTTGGGG